CGGGCTCTAGGCGCGCGGGCTTCAGTAGTTGTGGCTCGCGGGCTCTAGAGCCCGTGCTCTGCAACAAGAGAAGCCACTGCAATGAGAAGCCCACTACACCACAATGAAGAGTAGCCCCCGCTCACTGCAACTACAGAAAGCCCGCGCACAGCAACAAAGACCCAATGCAGCCTAAATAAATAAATAAATTTATTTAAAAAAAAAACAAACAGCTCGCTCTCAGGCCCTGGAAGGGGTCCCCTTCTGGCAACAGATGAACTATTGATCAATTTTTCATTGACAGGCCCCTGTCAGCCACGGCGCCTTCATGACAGCCTCTCACCCTCGCTCACTCTGCTCCTGTCCTCTCGGCTTCTCTCTCTCTCTCTTTTTTGTTTTTTGTTTTTTGACAGTGCCAAGATTGTTCCTCCTTCAAAGCTGTGCCCTCTTCCTGGAGTGTTCCCCCCCCCCCACACCCAGTTCTGGCTAATCCTCCAGGGATCAGATTAAAAGCCCTTCCTGCAGAGAGGCTTTACTTATCCCCCCAAACCAGGTCCCCCCTCCCCCCTTGCATACTTCCATAGCACCTGGAACTTTGTTTTCCAGGCACTTCCCAGAATTTTTAATCACATGGTTATGTTGACATGTTTATGTTGAGACTGTATGATTAGAAAAGGCAGAAACCTGGGGTTCTGTTGCTTTCTCCTCCGAATCTAACACATTGCCTGGCGCTCAAACATTTGTTGAAGCGCTGAATGTTTGGGAGGTTGGCGACATCAGCTGCCATCCTTGCAATGGTTCTGAAAGGAAAGGAGAGGTCCATCCCTCTGGCAAGAGCCACCAGGTTGTTTTGTGGCACCTCCTCTCATGTGTTTTCTTCACTTTTTACAGGCGAGGTTCCCACCATGGAGGTTATAGTGCCCCTCCCCCAACAAGCATCTGGAGACGAGACACAAAAACTGTCACTCTGGGAAAATGAATCAATAGGCTCATAAAGAAACAGATGGGACCCATCCTCTGCTAGGCAACCCTCCCTCCGAGAGGGCTTAGGGGTGTGGTGTCCCCTTAAGTAACTGAGTGGCTTTCTGAATCCTGTCAGGAGACCACAGCCTCTCACTGCAATCCAGATGAGGCAAGCACATCCTCAAAGAGGTGGGTGGCCTCAGCAATGGCCATTACCTCCCTGCCTGAGGCAATGGTATAAGAAGGGATGGGCTGCCTGAGACTGTTTTTGTGTTTAACAAACAATTAAATAGCGCTTACTGTGTGCCAGGTCCTGCAGATGAAGACATGTAATCCTCATATTGGGCCAATGATATAGATTCTATTATTATCTATTATTATTCATTTAACAGATAAGGACCTTGGGGCACAGAGAGGTTAAGTAACTTGTACAAGGTCACACAGCTAGTAAGTGGCAGAGCCTGGATCTGAACCAGGTAGCTGCATTACAGAATCCCTGTTTTTAACCCTGAGGCTTTGCTGCCTATAAAAAGGAAAACTTGTTAAAATGTTGTCAGCTCACCAGGGCTCTGCTTCCCCAAGACCGATTACTGAAACATTTCTAAAGAGGACCAGGGTTACCTAGCAAGGCGCCATAGCTTCCTAGAAATATCCATAGTACATCAATAAAGTTTGGCGGAAAGAGCACAGGATTCAGAACCATAAAACCTGCACTCAGATCCCAGTTATTCTCCTTACTATCTGAGTGACCTTGGTCAAGTTACTTAGCCTCTGTGAGCTCCAGTTTCCTCATCTATAAAAGGGATCATAGTGCTTCCCTGGTGGCGCAGTGGTTAAGAATCCGCCTGCCAACGCAGGAGACATGGGTTCGAGCCCTGGTCCGGGAAGATCCCACATGCCGCGGAGCAACTAAGCCCGTGCGCCACAACTACTGAGCCTGCGCTCTAGAGCCCAAGAGCCACAACTACTGAGCCCACGTGCCACAACAACTGAAGCCCATGTACCTAGAGCCCGTGCTCCACAACAAGAAAAGCCAGCGCAACAAGCAGTCCAAGCACCACAACAAAGAGTAACCCCCCTCGCCGCAACTAGAGAAAAGCCCACGCGCAGCAGCAAAGACCCAATGCAGCCAAAAATAAATAATTAATTAATTTTTTTTAAAAAAGGGATCATAATTATATTTCATTTACAAGGCACCCGGCAGACATCAGCCGAGAGTGGCTACTTCTTCCCATCAAAAACTTAGTACATCCGCCCTGCTCACAGCACAGTCCTCAGGCCTGTAATTTGGTTTCTGGAGCAGACCTGCACCCAGGATGGACTGTCCTAAGTCAATTACCAATGCCATTTATCCTCCTGGTATAAATGAATAAAATGGCATCTGCTTTATAAACCTGCCTCTGGTGATTAAGTTAGGATGAGACATCATTCCCAAAGTCTAATCACCTCTGAGGAACAGATACAATTGGGTTTCTGGACCTGCAAAACACAGGACAGACCCTGGACAGTAGTGACCCCTGCCGCCCAGCAACAAAGACTAGGAGGAGAGAGGCAAAAAACGAACAAAAACCTATCATTAGAGTTATGGGATTGTTATGAAAGTCCCTGCACCCTTAGATTCCCCTCCAAGCCTTCCCCAGCCTGCGGCTTCTCTCTCCCCCTTCCTTATGACCCATTCCCACTAAAAGCCAGATTGCCCAAATCTGAAACAGAGCCAAGAAGAGGATTCACGGTCATGCAGGAAGAAGCAGTTACCTTCTGGGCAGGAGCAAGAGTGAACGAGGAGGATGGGGGCTGGCAGCCTGGGATCCTAGGGCTGTTACCTTGAGCAGGTTGAATAGCAGGGGCAGGGCCCGCAGGGGCAGCAGCTTGGCCATGATGCCCAGGACCAGGCTGACATCCTCCCCAACACGGCCCACGAGCTCGGCCACTTCCTTGCCCACTCGCTGCAGAGTCGTCTTCCGCAAACCCAGCACAATGTAGAGGGCAGCCAGGTATTCCTGCATGGCGGGCACAGTGAACACGAAGGTACCCAGGTGCCCTGGCTCAACGCACGGGGCCAGAAAAAACCTCAGGGCATCCCGGCGGAACACATGCAGCAGCTGAAACTCCTCTTCCGTCTGGATGCCAGCTTCCAGGCAGCCACGGACATCCTCTTCAGAGAAGTACGTCTTGCGGGAGGACACCCCCTCGTAGGCCAACTTGCCCATGGTTCGGGCTGCATAGGCCATCAGGGACAACTTGGAGGGGTCAGTGCTGTCCAGCATCTCCCCACTGAAGTTTAGATGCAGGAAGCTGGTGTAGATGCTCGTGAGGGTCTGGCCAGCTGGTGTGGGAGCGTGCAGGAAGTGCAGGGTGGCACAGACAAGCCAGCAATAGGAGGGCAGGAAGCAGGCAGTGGCGATCTGGTGGTGCCCCTCCAGGTTCCGGGAGAGCATCTGCACCAGGTGGTCACGCTGAGCCGGCGTGGCTGAGAACCCCCCAGCTCCGTGCCCGCAGTCTGGCTGTTTGAAGCGGAGCTGGAAGTAGAGCTTCTGTAGGTTGGTATCGGAGAAGCCACAGATCTCGCCATAGCGGCCCACATACTTGCTGGGGATGCGGCCAATGGCAGAGGGCCGGGTGGTCACCAGAATGCTGGCCTGGGAAGAGCATGGTTGAGAGTTAAGAAAGACCCTTGTGGGCTTCCCTGGTGGCGCAGTGGTTAAGAATCCGCCTGCCAATGCAGGGGACACGGGTTCGAGCCCTGGTCCGCGAAGATCCCACATGCTGTGGAAGAAGTAAGCCCGTGAGTCACAACTACTGAGCCTGCGCTCTAGAGCCCGTGATCCACAACTACTGAGCCCACGTGCCGCAACTACTGAAGCCCGTGCGCCTAGAGCCCATTCTCTGTAACAAGAGAAGCCACGACAATGAGAAGCCCGCGCACCGCAACGAAGAGTAGCCCCCACTCACCGCAACTTGAGAAACCCATGCACAGCAACGAAGACCCAACGCAGCCAAAAATAAATAAGATAAACAAATTTATAAAAAAAAAAAAAAGACCCTTGTGTCCTGATTGCCTCACTTGCCAGGGAGTCCCTGAAGACTTGAGTGTTCAAGGATGAAGATAATGACGGCCACAGCAGTTATAACCCACACTTACTGAGCACCCGCTGTGACCCAGGGCGTTGTGCTAAGCACTTCATAGGCAGTATCTCATTTGTTCAGTACAACTCAAGGAGGGAAGGAAACAGAAGTCTGGAGAAGTTACTGACTTGCTCAGTCCACGGCTTGGAAGTGGAGGGGCAGGATTTGAACTAACCCAGAGCCTACGTTCCTACCCATTAAGCATGCGGACTCAGGACACGAAAATCCTGAGGGGGCAAATTGGGGACAGTGGAGGCAGAGCAGGGTGCGCTCACCTCGGGCAACATGTATTTGCGTAGCAGGTTGACGATGATGGCAGCTGGCGCCTCTGACTCCTCCGGGTCACTGCAAAGCCCTGTGCCTGCCAACCGGAAATCAAGGTTGAGGTGCTCCAAGCCGTGGAGCACAAAGAGCAGGCAGGAACCAGCAGTGGCCATCAGAGGCAGAATCTCCTTCAGGGGTGTGTAGCGCTGGGCCACAAGCTGGCACAAGGAGGCCGGCGCAGGGCCCAGGGATGACAGGTCCTCGCAGGAGAAGGGGATCAGCAGCTCGAAGGCTGGCAGCTGCCCGTAACACCAGTCCAGGACCATCTTGCGCACCAGCGTGCTCTTGCCTGTGCCCACTGTCCCGTAGAGCACCACCGTCTGCACGCGGCGCCCACAGGCATCTGGGTCAAAGAGCTGAGACAGGGCCAGTGGGGGGAGCCCAGCAGAGGGTGGCTGATGCTCCAGGGCCAGCTCAGCCAGTGGGCGAAGCAGCTCATCAGGGGTGCTCTCGCGGATCACAGGGTCTACGTGGACCGTGTCTAGTGCAAAGGTTGGGCCGAACTGGCGCTCTTCCCTGGGCAGCCGGCTGAACCACTCGGCCAGGTTCTGGCGGTGCCGCTGGATAGCTTCTGGATGGGAAGGCAAAGGGAATTTGTCAGGGAGAGGGGCTGAGAAATGCAGGAGCTTAAGGAGGTGGTAGGGTCAGGCTGCGGAGTCAAGACACAACACCAGGAGATGCCAGGACCCACAGTGGTGCTGGACACACAGGACTCCCTCAGACTGTCCAGAAAGTTTGGACCCCTGTGGCAGAAAGTGGGAAGCCATGGAACGAGAGAGGGTGAGTCTGGGCTGACTGGCTGTATGATTATCCACGTGTGATCTTCACCTGACCGCTAGAGGCAGTGTGTTGAAGGTAGGGATGTTATATCCCTCCCAGTGCTTTGTACATCGTAAGTGCGCACTGCATGAATGTTGCAGGAAGGGATACATGGACAGATGGATAATGGGGCCAGGGAGAGTGGGTCCACTAATGGCTGATTGTAATGGATCCTCTATACCTCCTTCCTGCTTGTTTCTCTCTCCAAGCCCTTCTTCCCCACACTCCCTGAACCCACCCCCACACTGGGAGCCCAGCAGCCCCTCTCCTCAGGCTGACTGAGGAGCCAGTCTCTTTACCAGCTGCAGCGATGCCCTGGAACAACTGTCCGTGCCTCCCTGATGGGGGACCACTGCCCGCTGAGCTTCCGTGATGGCGTATAAAGGCCCTGTGAGCAAGGAAAAGGGATGAGCTGGGGCTTGGCTACTGGGTTCAGGCTCTGCATAGGCTCAGAGTCCAGGCCTGCCTGGACTGATGAACTGCTGGCTTCCTGAGATCCAGGCCTGCCTCTGGACACCCAAGTCCAGAGCCTCATCTGACTCTCATACCCTTCCCAGGGCCTGAGGTCTTGCCCCTACCCCTCCAGTCCCCCACTGCTGACTGCCTGCCTGGAACTCAGACTGACCACTGCCAGACTCCACCCACTTCCCACCGGTCCTCCCTCTGGCTGACCACTGTGACTTGTACTGTGGATGACATAAGCTAACTTCCCCTTAGGCCTGGTAGCTGAGTCTGTACCCTCTCCAGCCCCGGAAAACCAACTCTCCCCATGAGATCAAGCTCTCTCCAAGTCCTGACCCTTCGCAGGCTACTCTGCTGTGCCCAGATGTGTCCCAAGGTCACACTGAGGTCTCACCTAGGGGGCCCAAGGGGGCGCTCCCCTTTAAGGGGCCAGCTCCAGTGGATCAGGAAGGGGATACGTTCATCTACAGAGAGAAAGCAGAAGGAAGCAACAGCATCCAGAATTCACCCACATTAGCTCAGCAATGCACAGACCCCACATCTACATCAAAGCCCCATCATTTGCTCTCATAGCCTCATGTACTGCCCCCTTGTAGCAGTCATTATGAAATTGTATATTTCATCATGTAATTATTTGATTAACATTCATTCACACACTCACCCCCATTCCTCCATGAGAGCAGGGATCACATCTGTTTGGGTTCACAAGTACCTACTTAGAAATTAGCATGGGGTCTGGCACATAGCAGGCACTCAATAAATACTCATTGAATGCAAAATGAAATCAGACAAGTGTTCCTGGACTTATGTAGCTACAGGGACACTCAAAGATCATCTAGTCTGACTCCCTCAGTTTAGGATGGGAAAAAGGAAGCTCAGGGAGGTACGGTGACTTGTCCAAGGTCAACAGCTAGTAAATCACAGAGCTGGGACTAGCATGCCTGGTGTCTGGATCCCTTCTCTCTTGGAGGTGCCCTCTGGACTCTGGAAAGGGAGAAGTGGCAACAGAAACCCCTGCTTCCTGCTCACCTGCTGGCTGGAGTACTCTTCCCAGACCAGGGCCCCAAGAGGCCCTAGGCAAATGGCAGCCCCACCTCATGGCAGGAGAGAAGGTCAGGGCCTGGGGGACCGAGCGCACCACCTTCTATCCTGTTCCGCTGCAGGAAGAATGGTGTGAATGGGCCCCACGCACCCCCACTTTCCCACCCCACCTCTCATGCAGGCCAAGGGAGGCCCTTCCTCCTCAGGAGAACATCAGCCTTTCCTTAAATGCCAGCATCGCCAAGGCCCTGGCCTGGCTTTCAGACCTCTCTCCTCTACATTCCCCACCTGAGTGATCCTACCACCCACTGGTTCTCCCCTGAGGCTTCACGATCACCTTTCTCCTGAATTCCAGCCTAGTGAACTGTTTTATTTAGGTGTCCTTTTTTTTGCTTGGCTGCCAGCACGCTCCTATGAGTCCTGTGTTCCTTTTCAGTGGCTTTTCTGAGCCAACGTTTTCCAGTAACAATCATCCATTCTCCTCTGAAGTTTTTCCCTAGCTATCAGGTCCTTTTAGCCGAGTTTTAATGGTTTGATCATTTTATCTTCTCTGTGACTTTTATGTAACCTGCCTTTGAGGCTGGCATAAATTATAGATAAATGAATGAATGACTTCCTATTTGATATCTCCATATGGACATCCTGCCAATGCTTCAAGCCGCACGCTCGCAGAACTGAACTCAGCATCCCTCCTCCCCTTCCAGTTACTTTACTGCAAATCTTCCCAATCACATGATTTCTACTCGAAATCTGACCTCTTTGTCTTCAAATCCTTCCCCCCTCCTCCACTTGTCTTCAAATCCTTCCCCCCGCCTTCACACAGTGGAAACAGCCCTGCCAGTTCCTCATCCCAGTACTTTGCCAGCCTGTTCCTATTGCATAATCCCTACCACCCTGTGCTAATTTAGACCCTCCTCCTCCTTAGTGGCCTCTGCCTTCAGTCTCATTCCATTCCCATCCCTGATCCCATACACCAATCGCCTCCCTAAAATCCTAGGTTATGTAGCGTCCAAACACCTGGCCCACACCAGCTATTTTCCTGAGTTTCCCCCTGACCCGTACCTCACCGGCCAGGCTTACTGAATTCTTGCTCCCACTTTCCTAACTTTGTTCATACTCTTTCATCAGCTTGGAATGACCTTTCTCCCCTGTCAGAATCCTACCCAATCTTTTCAGAACCTGGTCAAAAGTCCTCTCTCCTGGGAAGTCTTTCCTGATCCCTCTGAGCTCCCTTAAATGAAGCATACAGCTATCTGGCACCTGGTCTCCACTGAGATGTGACTCCTTAAGGGCAGAGCACACTTAGGGAGAATTGGGTGCATTCGGCCCTATTGCCAGCAGGGCCAACCAATGGAGGCGCAGCCTGCGGCTCAGACCAGGAGTCCCGGGGGTCGGGGGCGGGGGCGGGGAGTATAGAAGGGTTAAGAGACGGCCCTGGAAGGCTGGAAAAGCTTGGGGAAACTAGCTCAGTGGGATAAAATCGGTTGCAGGGCCTCTGACTCAAGATGGGACTGGCGGTGGGGATGGGGGCATGAGGCCAATTGTCGGAAGATCACCGCTGGTCTCCAGGGCAGTGAGAAAAGGAGAGGGCACAGCAGGAAAGGTACGGGGTCTGTGCTCGCACAGGTCCGGAGCTCCTCCTCTTAAACTGGGTCCTAGCTTTCCTAGTTCTAGTTGGTTTCAGAGCCCAAGAGTAAAGCCCGCCTGAATGCCCACCTCTCAGGGCACCGGCTGCGCCCCACGCGTCCCCAGCCTCCAGCTCCTAGTGGCACTAGCCCAGCACCGCACCGCCCCTGCTACTTAGACCTTTACCGCCGCTGCCCAGGCCCGGGAGCCGGTCGCCGCCAGAGTCTCCCGCTTGCTCCCAGAGGCCCCGGCGCGCGCGGCGCTTCCTGCACGCCCCGCCCGCCTGCGCGGAGCCCTGCCAGCCCTGGCATCCGGCCCGGCAGCGGGCAAGCGCGAGCACGAGCCCAGGCGCTCCGGGCCGCCGGGTCCTGGGAGGAGGGAGATGGCGAGAGGGGCTAGTGTCCTGGAGAGCAGGCCCGAGGCGGGTACTTCTTCGCCATCTGTCTCTCCTCCCCGCCCCCTCAGTGGTACAGCCCTCCATCCAGGCGGGCCCTGCCTCGGGGACTGCCCTCTACAGGTCACTGAGCGCCAATTCCATCCCATTACTCACCCAGGCAGGGCTTCTTGTTATGCCCATTTTACAGATGCAGGAACTGCAGCTCAGAAGGGTGAAATGACTTGCGCAGGTTGACCCCACTAGGAAGGGGAAGAACAAGAATCCGGGGCCTGGGTCTTCCTACCTCACCCCTGGACCTTCCCGAGGCGACCCCCATCCCCCATCCCCCATCCCCCATCCCCCCGGGCATTCTTCCCTCTGTGCCTCTTCACCGCTTCAGCCTGCCTCCTAACAGAGATCTGAGTCAAGGTCTTCTTGGGTCCTCCCTCTGTACCTGGCTCTCTTCAGACCCCACACCTCTGTGTGTGGCTTCTGGTCATTTGGGTCAAGGCAGGCAGAAGAATGGGGCTGAGGGACAGCTCCCACCTCAACCTGCTCCTCTTGTCTGGCACCCAACCATAGCCTGGCCCTAGGGCTTCCTGGTCCTCAAAGACCCCAGCCTCATCCCTGTGCTTCCATACCGGGCACACCCAGGGCCCACGTAACCGATGGAGGAGCCTCCCACCACCCACAGCCAGGGCATGCCTCCACATGCAAACACAGGCTGTACTGAACGGAGGTGTGCAGTCGGGAACTGGTAGAGAGGAGCCTTGGGCAGGGCTGAGAAGAGGGCTTTATGATCTCTACCCTCCGTCCAGACTGAGGACTGTGGGGATATTTCACTTATACATGTAAATATCTGTTTTTTCACTGAACACGTGGTACTGGGCTGGTATCGAGCAACCAGAACAAGGTGAACAGGGACCAGACCATAGCAGCTCCCCTCCAGGGGGCCCAAATGATGGTACTTCAGAGGGAGATGGAAGCCTCAGGAAAGCCTGGGAGAGGAAGTTACGAACTGCCTCTGGCACAGGAGGTGACATTTTAACTAGATCTTAAAAAATAAGCTGGGGGACTTCCCTGGTGGTCCAGTGGTTGAGAATCCGCCTTCCAATGCAGGGGACGTGGGTTCGATCCCTGGTCAGGGAAATAAGATCCCACGTGCTGCGGGGCAACTAAGCCCACGTGCTGCAACTACAGAGTCCACGCACTCTGGACCCCCTGCTCCACTAGAGGGAAGCCCATGTGCAGCAACGAAGACCTGACGCAGCCAAAAACAAATAAATAAATGAACATTAAAAAAATAATAAGCTGGTACTCAGTCATAAAAAAGAATGAAATAATGCCATTTGCAGCAACATGGATGGACCTAGAGATTATCATACTAAGTGAAGTAAGTCAGACAGAGAAAGACAGATAGCATATGGTATTACTTATATGTGGAATCTAAAAAAATGATACCAATTAACTTATTTACAAAACAGAAATAGAATCATAGACATAGAAAACAAACTTATGGTTACCAAAAAGGATATGTTTGGAATTTGGCATTAACAGATATACACTACTACATATAAATTAGATAAACAACTAATAGCACAGGGAACTATATTCAATATCTTGTAATAACCTATAATGGAAAAGAATCTGAGAAAGAATATATATGTGTGTATATATATATATATATATATATACATGTATAACTGAATCACTCTGCTGTACACCTGAAACATCGTAAATCACTATACTTCAATTAAAAAATAAAAATAGGGCTTCCCTGGTGACGCAGTGGTTGAGATGCAGGGGACACGGGTTCGTGCCCCGGTCCGGGAGGATCCCACATGCCGCGGAGCGGCTGGTCCCGTGAGCCATGGCCACTGAGCCTGCGCATCCGGAGCCTGTGCTCCGCAACGGGAGAGGCCACAACAGTGAGAGGCCCGCGTACCGCAAAAATAAATAAATAAAAAATTTTAAAAAGCCAGAGAAGAGAAGGGCATTCCAGGCAGCACAGAAAAGAGCACATTTGATTTTAACAAAGATCTGAACGAGGAGTAGGATGGGGTGCAGGGAGAGGAGGTAGAGTAACGCTGTGAATGTGATCTTAGGGGTGACATTTCAGGCCTGGAGGACTCCTCTAGCTTCACTCCACTTACCTAGCCACGTGAGACTGACAGGCCCCTGGCTGTGTTACTGGACACAGCTCAGAGCAAGACATTCCCCTCCCCCACCCCTCAGCGGGCACGACAGCCATGTAGGTTTTATTAATAACATATAATTTGACTGGCCTCTTGCAGACAGAAGTACTGTGAGTCACACTGTGGGCATGTGCTCTGTCGTCGGACCTCAGGATGGGGCAGCAGGTGCTATAGAGCCACAGCACAGAGAAGTGCTTTGGTCATCTCTGCCCTCCTGCACCTTGCACAGACCCTGTCACAGAAGGCAGCTGCGTTGAAGGAAATGATCTCTGGGTCCAGGAAGTTCGGCATTCAGGGAGAGTGGGCCCATTTCAAAACATGCTTGGATGCCCCCCCTCTGCAGGTTACTGAGACCGGTGGGGGGAGAAATCGCAGGTGGTTCTCCGGGGCAAAGAGCACAGCATCTTGAGAGCTCGCTCAAGTCGCTTCTCCAAGCCTTGGTTTCCTTCTCTGTAAAAGGAGGAAATGATCATACTCATCCTAGTAGCCTCATGGGGTTGCTCCAAGAATCAAAAGAGCATTCTTCCCAAATATGTGAGCCACTCTGCGAATGTTCTCTGTGAGCCACTCTACGAATGTTCTCGGTGCCTGAATGGCCCTTGATGGCTCTGGAATGTCTGTTCATTTCCTTTAGCTCCAAGGGGAACTTACGGATGTGTGAACTTATAAATTTTACTCTTTGGGGAGTATTTTAAATTTCATCTTAAAAGAGAAAGAGTAAAAATGAAGAATCTTAAGAAAGACTACATAGTGGCAGAATTTTGTGCCCTCTGACTTTTAGGAGCCACGTATTGGTATCATTCCAGGGAGAAGGTGGCACCCAGAGTGCCCCCTCAAGCTAGCTAGAATTCCAGGAGCTAGGACTCAGCTGGGACCCACTTCCCATTCCCATGCCCCACTTCCCGCCCCCCGCTCCCACCCCCATAAGAAACAAAGTTAGTCCATCTCCAGGCAAGCACCCATCCAGTCATAGATTGGGGCCTACCCTAGCCCAGGGCATAGCACAAGTAGGGTATCCCAGGCAGCTGGCAGGACTGATGGCAGCCCCTTCCTTTAGTCCCCAAGCTCAGGATCAGGAGGGAAGAGGGAGAGACAAGGTACTGCTTCTTGGGTCATCCTGCCACCAGCCCTCAAGACCTTCTGGACAATTGCCTACTCCAAATCTCAGGCTAGCAGAGCCATGTGTAGTCCTGGTGGTTGATGGTCTGGCCATGGGAGTGTGGCTCGGCAGGAAGGAAGCGAGGAAGAAATGAGGAGAGTTCTGCTGAGCCCAGTGGGGCTCCTGCCACTCTCATTCTGGGGCTTAGGTCCCTGGGGCTTTCTGCTCCTCACTGCCTTCACAGCCCCTAACCTCCCCACTCCCCCATAGGCACAACTGGGGAACCAGGGCTCAGTGAGTTCTGAAAAGAGAGTCACATATCACTCAGGCAACAATGCACCTATGCCGCAGACACAGAGCCCCTGCACGCAGCTTGCAGATCCACCAGTAACAAGCATCATGGGCCAAGGCCAAGGATGAGGAGTCCAGAGGCAGAAGACCTGGTTGTCAGAGCTGGTTCCCACTTCCATTAGCTAAGGGTCCTTGGGCAAGTTACTTAATCCAAGTCTCAGTTCGCTCATCTGCAAAATGGATTGTCGTGAGAGATAATGCAGGGTTGACCTGACGCTCCCTTGAGATAATGAACATAAGCACCTGTAAGACGTGAAGCTTGATACAAATATCCCATAAGATACACATTCACCAGCTTGACTTCCCATCCCCTGCCACAGCCTCCCTGAAGCTCATAGACTTCTTGCCAAGAGCTCTCACAGCCCATGGTACCAGGTGCCAGACCCACACACATTTACACACTGCATACTGTATAAATATACGTTTTATTAATAATGGGTGAACTCCCACAAATACACCTGGCATCTCTGTGTGATGGGGAGAATCCGTGGCAGGGCAAGGAAGGTAGAGAGGTGTGTGTACAGGACAAAGGGGGGACAAGAGCCCTAGGGGAAGGTGAAATCAGAAGAAGAATGAGCCTGGACCCGCACCCCCAGGAAAGCCAGACATGTTCTAGGTGTGTCTGTCGCTCTGGTGCCGTGGGCATGCTGCTCTGGTGCCCAGGGCCCACCTTGGCTGATAGAAAGCAGGTGGAGAGACGCGGACAAGAGTTTGAATGAGCAGCAAGTGGCCATGGAAGGAGAGGGGGAGTGAGACCGCCAGCTTGACACACAAAAGAAGAGCCATGGGGTGGCAGCGGCCAAGTCCATCTTATGCTCATGCTTGTGCTTGTGTGGGCTCCTGAACTCCAGGGAGCTGGTGCCCTGTGCCACCCCTGGCTTGGGACGGAGGGAGGGAGGGAAGACTGGTGGGTAGACACCTGCAGATCCTGGAGACGCCCCGGGCAGCACCAGCCTCATCCTTAGAATCAAAGCGGAATTCCCGGGAGGAGGTTGACACAGCCCTTCCCACAGCACCCACCGTCACCACCACCATCACTCTTCCTGTGAGCCACAGCGGGACAGCGAGTGTGTGTAGGGCCGAGATTGCCTGTTCGCATATATGTGCCTGTAACTCAGGAGAGGTGAGGGAGCATTGCGGGACCACGCGAGCAGTGAGAAAGGAGGCTTGGGTCTTCTCCCACTCACCCCTGAGAATGAAGTGCATTCTCCAGTTCCAGTGGCAGATGGGAGAGAAACACAGACATTATTGCAGAGGTGCCACAGGCCCAGCCCCCACCAGAGGTGACGGGGTGGAGTCCAGGGGACAGCCCATGGCGCCAGGCCTCTCCAATCCCCAGGATTGGGAGGGATGATCCAGACAGAAAACCCAGCTTCTGTCCCAACAGATTGTCCAAATC